GCTGTGTAAGTAACAATAGTTTTGGGATTATGGAAACGGATTGTCGCAGTTTGGTAAAGGGTACTGACTTCAGCAGCAATCACCGTAAGTAGGAAAGGAATACCTATATAAATACAAAACAATGAGGAAAGATAAAAAGTATGTTCGCTACAGGAAAACAAGTGGGTAACACAAATGCAGAACAAGAGAAAAGGGAAATTTAATATGAGGAAACTGGAGGCCTCTGGGTCTCTGACCTTCTGGACACAGGATCTCCAGGAGCAGGACACAGGGAGCAACTCCAGAACAAATCCAATGAACTGACACAGAAAGGGCATAGGGATAGAGGCAGCTGCAGACTTGAATATAAGTATGATTTTACTATATTTAGGGAGACATGGGGGCTAGATGGTGGTTTTAGCACTAGAGGGTCAGGAATACTGGTTTGTGTTCCTGACCCTATAGTGTTCATTTCAGGTGGACTAGAAATTTGAAAAAAATCCAGAACAGATTAACCCCTTAAGGACCAAACTTCTGGAATAAAAGGGAATCATGACATGTCACACATGTCATGTGTCCTTAAGGGGTTAAGCTGACTGTTAATGCCAAAGATACAAGACATTGCAGGAAATATGTCTGAGCATAGATTGACACAGGATGGTGGAATCAAACTATTCAGTGGTACAAAAACTTAATTTCCTTCCCTAAAATAAAACAAACTTATTCTCTTTTCTACAGGTTTTATGCGGCGTGTTGTGTGCTCGGCCTGGAATTTTTGCATCAAAACGATATTGTTCACAGGTAAGTGTACAGGAAAAAATAAAGTTGAACATTCATACATAGTGTCCCCATAAATATTATCTGTGTTATTTACTGTATTGTGATCAAAATGCTGTGTCTGTGGTTTGATTGATTAGTTATGTTATCATAGTAACTATTTTTGTCTTATATTAGTTAATTCTTTAAATCTAATTTTTAAAAAGGCTAAAAAAAGAAAACCATGTAATTCAAGTGCCTCTAGTGATATTGAAAAAAAAACGATTTTTCTGCATTTTAAATCCAGAGATCTCAAATTGGCAAACATTGTCATAGACGTAGATGGATTCGCCAAAATTACAGACTTCGGTCTTAGTAAGCAAGGTAAAAATTATTTTATATTAAACAAAAGGAATTTCTTACAAAGTTGCACAATTTAACTTTACCCACACATAACAAATAACATCCAACTGCAAACTGAATTAAAAGAATATATGAAACACAAACCGTTATTCACTAAAGTCTGATTGGCTTTGTACTGAATGGGGCAAAACCATCTGACTGCATACAGAGCCATTCAGACTCCA